CCGTAAGTTTGTACTCGTTTTTTTTTTTTTTTTGATGATATACTCATTTACAGCCATTCCTTGGAGGAGCATGCATGCCATCTTGGCCAGGTATTATCGGTTTTGTAGCGACACCAATTATATGCCAATGCTAAGAAGTGTAGTTTTGGCAAGTGTTCAATTGAGTACCTTGGCCATATTGTTTCTGTAGAGGGAGTTTTGGCTGATCCTACTAAAATAGAGGCCATGGTTAATTGGCCACCTCCCACAGATTTGAAGGAGTTACGGGAATTTCTCGGGTTGACGGGTTATTACCGGAAGCTTGTGGCCGGATATAGTCAAATTGCAGGGCCCTTAATCAATTTGCTCCGGAAGGATAATTTTCGTTGGGACGCTGAGGCAATGCAGGCTTTTGAAAGGTTGAAGTCGGCTATGACGTGTGCCGGTGTTAGCGTTGCCGGATTTCACAAAGCCATTTGTGCTTGAGTCAGATGCCTCAGGATTTGGTTTGGGGGCAGTTTTGATGCAAGATCAACGGCCTATTGCTTATTTCAGTCAAGTCCTATCCGTTCAAGCACGAAACAAGTCAGTTTATGAGCGAGAGTTGATGACCATTGTTTTGGCCGTTCAAAAGTGGCGGCCGTATCTTTTGGGGCATCATTTTGTGATCCGAACGGATCAGCGTAGCCTTAAGTACTTGTTGGAGCAGCGTCTAGTTAGCATGGAACATGAAAAGTGGCTCACCAAGTTGTTGGGATATGACTTCGAGATTCAATATCGGCCCGGGGTTGAGAATAGAGCCGCGGATGCATTGTCACGGGTCGCGGTTGGCCCAGCTATGGCCGCAATGACAGCTTCCACATTTGTTAACACCGAAGAGATCCACCAACAGGTGTTGCAGGATGACCGGTTAGCAAAGATTTGGTCGGATTTGCCTCACAATCCGGCTGCGTTTCCGGGGTATTCCATCCGACAAGGCCGTTTGTTGTATAAGGGTAGGATGGTGGTGGCTCGTACGTCTCTGATTGTACAGCGATTGCTACATTCTTATCACAACGGAGTGTTGGGTGGCCACTCGGGGGGATTGAAGACCTACCGTCGACTTGCGGCCGACTGGTTTTGGTTGGGAATGAAACGAGATGTAACCGCGTATGTGGGCCGTTGTGAGATATGTCAACGGTGTAAAGCGTCCACTTTGGCCCCGGGAGGGTTATTGCAACCCTTACCCATTCCGGAACAGGTGTGGGCAGATGTATCTATGGATTTTATTGAGGGCCTACCCCGTTCGGAGGGCTACGATACTATCCTAGTGGTTGTTGACCGTTTGAGTAAGTATGGCCACTTTATTGCTTTGAGGCATCCGTTTTCTGCGAAGAAGGTTGCAACGCTGTTTGTCCGGCTGCATGGGGTCCCTCGCACCATTGTTTCGGATCGGGATTGTGTTTTTCTTAGCCATTTCTAGACTGACTTACACAAACAAATGGGTACTACCCTCTCGCGCAGTACGGCGTACCACCCACAGACCGATGGCCAATCCAAGGTGGTTAATAGGAGTGTGGAAACCTATTTATGTTGTTTTACTTCCGATAAGCCGGGGCAGTGGCATAAGTGGTTGGCTTGGTCCGAGTATTGGTACAATACTTCTTTCCATACTGCCACACGCATGACTCCTTTTCAAGTGGTTTATGGCCGGTTGCCTCCACCATTGCTGCGGTACAGTGTGGGATCTTCGCCAGTGGATTCAGTGGAGCGCCAGCTACAGGATCGAAATGCCATGTTGGATCTACTCAAATTCCACCTTCAGGTTGAATAGTAGATGCAAGCGGTTGCAGATGGTAAACGGCGAGATGTAGAGTTTGTCGTGGGCGACTTGGTGTATCTTAAGCTTCGTCCCTACCGTCAAGTTTTGTTGGCTCGCCGCCGTAATGAGAAAGTTGAGCCTGTGATTCTATGGTCCCTTTTGGATTACGCATCGTGTGGGGCCAGTTGCTTATCGTTTGGCTTTGCCAAACTCGGCGACCATTCATCCTGTGTTTCATGTTTCTCAGCTATGTAGGGTGGTTGGACAGGGGCAGGCCATCTCATCTCTGCCACCCCAGCTGACAGGTGACTTGGAGATGTGCGCGGAGCCGGCCGATCTACTTGGGGTGCGACACACAATTCACGGTGGCCGTACTGATTTAGAGGTGTTGATTCGTTGGGCTCACTTGCCGGCACATGAGGATACGTGGGAGTCGTATGATGCTATTGATTCGCGATTTCCTCACTTCCATCTTGAGGACAAGGTGTGTCTTTGGGGCGGGGGTAAGCCTCCCGTGCGTTTTACATATGCTCGGAGGAAATGCAACCACGAGCCAAGGTTGGCAGTTGAAACTCAAGTGGTTGCTGAGGTGGAGGGAAGTACTCGGGGAGAGGAAATAGGAAGTGGCTGAGTCAGCAGGCGGTTACTAGTTAGTTCTTAGAATTAGTGAGAGGAATAAGAGTTAGTAGTATAAATAGATTAGGAGGTAGAATAAAGGGGCATCGATTCATTTGTACAAACTTCTGAGAAGTGGAAACCTAGGAGAGCAAGGGATCTCTCGAAAATCCTCTTATCTTCCTGTAATCAACCTTCCGCCATTAACACAAATCAAGCTTTCTGTTAGTTTTCCTTGAATTCTGTCAAAATACTACTAACCGGGAAATAGGAGCTTAACAAAATCTCATTCTCCTTATTTTAACTCAGATTCATTTCAAATGTCCTCAGTGATCCCATCAATTCATTAAGTCTCATAGTCTCAATGTTTTTCACCTCTTCAATAGCAGCTTTGTAGGCGAATCTCTGTGGTAAAGATCTCAACGTCTTGCTGATAAGTTTTGTTTTGGGAATTTTTTCACCAAAAGCAAAGGATTCATTAGCTATATCATACAACCGTGAATTAAATTCAGAAATAGTTTCAGTTTCATGCATTCGAAGATTTTCAAACCTGGTTGTGAGAATATTCAGTTTGGATTGTCTGACGGCAGTAGTTCCTTCATGAGCAATCTCCAAAATCTCTCATGCTTCTTTTGCCGATTCACATGTAGATATCATATTGAACTGGTTGATGTCAACTCCATTGAATGTTGCATTGAGAGCACGAGAGTTGTGGATGGCCAACCTGTCTTCATCAGTGCTCTAGGCCTCTTCGAGTTTGAGAGTCTCTTTTCCTTTTGCATCTTTAGTTATTGGATGTTTTCAGTCATTCAAAACAGTATGTCAGGCCTTCTCATCTTAAGCTTTGATGAAAACCTTTATCTGGGTCTTCCAATATGAATAATTTGAACCATCGAGTAGATGGAGACGTACAACTGAAACCTCATTTCTTTAGAAAATCCATTCCAAACATAACAGATCAACCTTTCAAGATCTCACCGAGCAATCGGTCAGTGAACCCACTTGTTAGATATGATTTTACGTCTGGTGTTCCAGATGATGTTGGAACACTGTCTGGAACATGGCTTAATTAATTAAGATTCGAGTTAATTACACTCAATTGCTCAAGCATAATAAAGTGCAGAAAGTGAAGGAACACACAATATGATATCGCTGTTCGGTGCACACACTTATATATGCGGGGCCATGCCCAGCTATGTTCTAGAAATTACAGACACCAGCCGGACTTATTTACTCAAGGACTCCCTCCTAGACAATGACGTCGCTGTGACAAATCTCCACAGTGATTGTTTAGCATGCACCATACGTCTTCTATTTACCTGGTGAACTCCCTTCGACCGGCAGAGCTTCCTTCTGAAAGCAACAAATCCCTCTCCCGAAAGACGATCACAATAACTTACAAGACTCACAAAAACTCACAAGACTCACAAAAATTCACAGACGTCTCTGAATATTTTCTGAGTAACAAGCTCTCAAATTCACAGACTTTTCCTCTAAAGATGTTCTATTAAATCCATGCCACAAATGAGCATCCTAGAGCCGTTTATATAGAACTTGCACTCAACGACAAACTCAGATAACTTCATCAATATCTAATAATTATCTCTTCTTTAATCAACTGCTCTATCCGGATATTTTCTTCAATTATCCCACGTTTGCAGCACTAACTTTATTCTTCAAATATAATTCAAATTTTAAATCTCCATGCGCATCTTCATTATCTCTACGTGCACAATATCTTCACAATGGCTTAGTTATCATATTGGCTCCATGTGCAAGCCACTTTGAATTTCAAACATCACCCAAATTCTAAATGCCCAATAAATATATATATATATATATATATATATATATATATGGTTTTTTCTCTTGCCAAATCAGTCTTCTATTGCAATTTGAATTCAATTCAAATTTGAATCCAACCAAAAGCCAAAAACTGGATAATCATCACAATAAAATCTTTACATAATCCTTTTGATCTTTATCTCCTTTGATCCTGATTTCTTTCTATAATTCTATTTAAATTCAAATAATCAATGTCTTATCTTTCTTTGACCAGGGTCTTATCCTTATCTCTCTAAATATCAACTAATGTCTTATCTTCTTTTGACCAAGCCTTTATCCATATATCTTCAAATCTCAGCTCAATAAAATTTGTAACTTTAACTTCAAATCTTATTCCGAATTTTCTTCTGCAATACGAAATCTTCTTAAACTTGTTTTTTAAATTTTTACAAGATTATCAATAAATTGCAAACTAATAAAAATACGATCTTTTCATTTTGTTTCTAAAATCTTCCTTGTTCTATAGACACCAGTTTGCTGGAAATTATTATTTATTTATTTATTTATTTATTTTGCAATTTTTGGCTTGCCATGGATCTTTTTTAAGTCTATCTTATCCATTTCCCTTTTTAAGATGGGTGATAATTGGGGGGAGACACGTTACTTTAAAGGTTTTTCTGAGACTACGTTTTCATATGGTTATAAATTGTCCAGAAAAAGAAAGTTTCATGGTTGACGTTGTGATGTTTTCGTATCTTTTTCTATGTTTCTTAATTCTAATTTATTTATTCATTTATTTTTTCTTGCGAATTGATTTTAGGTGATGATGAAGGATCAGTTCGCGAACTATGTTGTGCAGAAAGTGCTAGAAACTTGTGATGACCAGCAACTTGAACTAATCCTTAATCGTATAAAGGTTCATCTGAATGCTCTTAAAAAATACACTTACGGAAAACATATAGTTGCACGTGTAGAGAAGCTTGTTGCTGCTGGAGGTACTTTTATTACTTGCACACCTCTGTTTCTTTTTCTTTTACATATTTTCTTTTGCTTGTTGCCTGCACTGAAGAAAGCAGTCCGTTTTGCGAAGTCTTGTCTTGGTTTGATTTTTTCTTTTTCTCCATCCTTAGTTTTGTCAGGCGTTAGGCAAATGACTGGGTTTGGGCATCTAAAGTGCTGTTAATGACTAATTTTAAGGCGCATTCTTGGTGGGATGTTCTAGAAATTAGCGAGTTAAAAAAGGAGCATCTGAAAAATTGTGTTACTTTAGGCGCTTGTTTACAGAATATTATTTTTACAGAGCATCTGAAAATTATGCACGCTTGTTTACCTCCTGATTCATTACCTCTTGGAATGGAGCAGATATATATTAGACGCACTATCCAATGATTCATTTCTCCGTCAACATGGGGAAACATTTTATAGTCTAGTCCCTTTTAATTTTTATATCTTATTATATCCTCTGATGTTTCTCGATATCTAACGAGGTAATCTGAATCTTTTCAGAGAGGAGGATTAGCATTCTGACTCCACATCCCGCCGCTTAGGCGATGGCGTAGGAATCAAAGATGATGTACAGCTAACTGAGGATAGTACGAGTGCCCTCTCTCTTTCTCTTCTTTCCTTAATGTCTAGTAAAAGCTCCGCCTATTTATTACGTTCTGATGGACGGAAGCTCATTCGAAAATAAAATTGTTCGTTGTACCTAAAACTGTACATTTTTTAGTTTTGAGAATATATAGCTAGAGTCAGGCTAGTTGATGATGAGGCTCAGACGGTGTCGAACACACACACACGCACCTGATGCCCCTTGCAGAGGAGATAAATTTAGTGTACAAGTTTTAAGGGTGTAAAAAGGGAGGGAGGTAGTAAAATATGTTATCGTGACTGTACAAATATGTTACCAGGTCTAGAAATGCCTGTTTATGGGAGTCCTGAATTTTTCTATGTATGGGATTCGATTTTTTTTCCCCTTAATTTAAGAAACTTTTTCCTTTTAGTAGCATGCCTGATTTGCTCAAGTAATATTATCATTGTGCAATAACTATATCTACCATTTTTTGATTGCTTGCTGACATGACATGATAATTTTGTAGCTGGATAAAGGTATTATATTACTCCTAAAGCCAAATTTTCTGAGATTTTATGCAGTTACACAACCATAGGAAAACAATGAGCAATAATTTTCTGATGTGCTTATATTCATTCATTCTATCTGATTCATGGCTCGCCTTCTAACTTGAGAAAGCTTGTGTGAGCTTTTCCATCCATTTTCCTGTCCAGAACGTGCTTAATGTAATCCAAGTACTTAATGTCTTTATACCTTCTTGAACGATCCTGCATCATCGATTCCACTGGACCAATTTCTATTCCCACATCTGGAATCACGAATGTTGCAATCGACATTCTTGCATTGCTCGCATTTGTGATGGCTCTGTGCTCGATGCTTTTGTACATTCCATTGCTCCAAGCCTGCAAACCATTGCAAAATTTTGCATGTTCGATATTAATAACCATGGAAACGATCTGTTTCCAAATCAGAAAACCTAGGCTTTGAATGCTTGTTTGGCGTAATTTATTGTTTGCTAAACACCAAAAATATAAATTTAGTAACATGAAACACGATAGTTACAAGTACCTCAATGACATCACCAACGTTGACCACCAATGCATTTGGAATTGGCTTTACAGGAAGCCATCCTTCCTTGTATTTGATCTGAAGGCCGGTGATCTCATCGGCCTGCAGAAGTATAGTTAGGGATCCGCCATCGGAGTGGGGACTAACGCCGAGAACAAGGTCAGGTTTGGAGCAGGGGGGATAGTAGTTCATTCTCATAGATTGTTTCATCACCACATGAAGCTTTTTCAAGCCATCCTCCTCCATTCCCATCAATAACGACAGTTTGGCCATGATCTCCTCATTTACCCTCTGTAATTCCCTCGAGTATTCTTCAACTGCCTCCCTGTTCAAAGACAAATTTTAGGAAATCTTCAAAAATTTTGAAAAAGTAGTACCAAATAAGAAAACACCAAAAGGGCAGTGTTTAAAATCCAAATGATTGATTCTATAGCGAAGTTTAATCTTTTATCTTAATCGTAATCTTAAACATACATAAAAGAGCTAAAGTCTTTTTCCATTCATCATCTTCTATTTAACAAGTGTCAACTCTCTACTTTTTTGCTTTTACCTGTTTTTTTTGTTTTATTTACTTTTTCTATTTCTATTTTTTTTCTTTTTTTTTCTTTTTTCTCTTTTTTTTTTGTTGCCAAAAATTACTCTACAATTGAGTCACTGGAACGTGTTTCTTTTGAAATACTCTTTTTATTCCGCTATACTGTTATTTACATAATTTCTTTCAAATATGTTCTTACTTATTTCTTTTCTTTTTACTAAAAGCAACTTTATAGCATAATTTTTATTTGATGTGGTTTTTTACTCGCTTCTGTCTATCGCATACGGTAACACGTGTGGAGAGTATGTTATCAAACTAGTATATATATAATTCATTACGTACCTGAATCCTGGTAATGTGGTTGGCAAGTACTTCATATTCCTATCTTCAAGTGGGCATGTTATGAGGAAAAACAGGTCACCCCAATCCAGTTTTTGCTGTTCTGAAACTACATATGCTTGCCCATAACCCTGAAGGTCATTCTCCGCCATTGAATACTTCTTCTTCTCTTCCAATGGCAGATCAAAAAATGCTGCTACAGCAGCCTTCATTTTACTTAAAACCATCACCGCTACGCCATGGTTTATTATCTACACAAAAAACATGTTCCCATTGTCAAATCTCAGCATAAATATTTACAAGAAAAAGGAAAATCTATTAGCAGAAATGGTAAGATGTACCTGGAAAAACCCCCACTCTTTACAAGCAAAGTCTAGCTTGTTTAGTTCATCTTCATCTCCACTGATCAGCAAGGAGAAATCTATGACTGGAATGTCCGAAGAATCGGAACCAAAGGTTGTAGAATCTAGTACTGGCCTGTTCTTGTGATCTTGTATGTATCTTTCAGGAACAAACTTTGGATCATTCCTTACAATCTCCTGTACACTTGGTACTGGTAAAGATTTTCCCCAACCCAACACCCCATCTTCTTTCATGACTCCGCCTTCTAACTTTTGAAGAATTTTGCACTTACCATGCATATCTTTGTTCAATGTTAGGGTTATTATATACAAGTTCTTAATTGGGTTTATTTAGTAATGGAATCTAAATTCCTCTTTTTGAAATATGCCATTTTTAACAGTTCTCGAGTCTTCTTTTGTCACCAGCTTGTCTAACGATAGTTAAAAACCACAAAAAAAAAAAAAAAAAAAAAAAACCTTGTCTTTTGCTAACATATAATATACGGCTAGTAATGTTCGATGATTGACGAAAATGATGGGATTGTTTATTAAGGCCCTTGGAGTTTACGTCCTTGCTGCTATGAGGAATTTATTTGTTTGTTATGTCAAAATAACGTGGTAATACAATGTAGATCATTAAGAGAATTTTATGGTAAGTATATATGTAAATATATCTTATTGGTTGGACATAATTTTGAATTGTTAAATTCTTTAAAGTTGTTTATACTTAACTTGATTAAAAAGATTATAATAGAAATATTATGGTTAAAATCTATATTCTACATATAAGGTCTTTCATCATGCTCTATCACATAGTTCTTTAGATGACATTTGAGAGTGACTTAATGTTTTTATAAGTTTATGTTTATTGTTATAGTTAAATAATGTGAGATTTAGGCTTATTTTAAAATTTATACATCTCAACAAGAAGGTACTCTTTGATTGCCCCACTCACTTGAACTTGTTGGGTTTTGATACCATAATAGTTTTTAAGAGAGAATTACTGAATTTATCTTTAAGAGTGTATGTATATTGATTTTTATCATTTATTCTTGATTAATATCATTTTAACTAATATAGTTATTTGACTAAAAGGATATTAATCAAGTATAAGGGGGTATAAAATCTAGACTCAATACACTCTAAAAGAGTATTTATCTCCTTCTCCTTACATTATATATGATCAATGAATTCATCAATATTACTAGCAGAGAAAATATAAAGAAGATTTTTCCCAAATGACATAACAAGACAAGACAACAGATGTTGCTTCATTTAGAGGCAGCTAAGCATTTTTTTTTTTTTTTCAAGTTGAAGCTGTACATTATTTTGGTTGCTAATTAACGTACGGTTTCTGATTATAGTGGTAAACTATTTCTGAAAAGAAGGAAGCCTCAGAACCTGAACCCAAAGAAACACCCAACGAATTAATGTCAATGCTACTTCTGATTATAGTGGTAAACTATTTCTGAAAAGATCCGAAAAACTTGATGAAAGCAACAAATTAAAAAGTGTACAATTGTCAATGCTAATATTATATTCGATATATTACTTTATTTCGTGTAAAAATGTCAATGCTAATTGTATGAATCTTTCGGGAACGTGCTCGGATTCATTTCTCACGATATCTTCAACACTAGGTACTGGTAAAGATTTTTCCCAGCCCAACCCCTCATCTAACTTAATTCCGTCTTCAACATTTGGATCCATTCCATTTTTGCGTACTAGTTAGATATCCTTCTTCAGGCATGTATACAGGGCTTAAAAGGGTTGAAAATCAAAGGTAATTTTGTGTCCTTTTCTTGAAAGATACCATTTACTTGTAATTGTAATATGGAAAATTATTTTTTCTCAATGGTTGACGGACATTGTCTGTGGAAATGGCCATTTTCATCTCTTTAAAAGCCAAGTTTTCATGTATTTGTTGGATGATAATGATATAAGCATTGTAGAAAAAGTGAAAGGATGTTTATATGCTTTTTTTTTTTTCTTTTTTTTAAAAAATCTGAAATAAGCAACCTTGTTAAGTTAAATTACATGGAGATTCTCACGGCAATAATGGCCAGGTGATGTGTTGTAGAAAATGACTAGTTTAATAAAGTACAACCATAATCGGAGTCAGCTTTTCATGAATTTGTTTTAGGCTTAGTTTGGTAGTGTTATAGATTTTGGAAAAATTACTTTTAATTGTGTTGAAGGAAGAAGCAGCAGTTATAAAAAGCAGCTGAGTATTTAATAAACTATAATTATAGTAGCTGTGCTGATTCCAAAATCAGTATCATAGCGTTTGATAAATTATGAGGTTAAATTACTATGGGTAGTTAAAAATTACGACTATATTATATTATACTATAATATAATATATATAATTACAATATTATAAAACATATTATAATACTACATAAGAAATATTAATATTTCTTATGTAGTATTATAATATGTTTTATAATATTGTAATTATATATATTATATTATAGTATAATATAATATAATCGTTATTTTTAATTATTTTAGTTATTATTTTAATAATATGATATTATAATTATAATATCATATTATTAAAATAATAACTAAAATAATTAAAAATAACGATTATATTATATTATACTATAATATAATTTATATATAACTACAATATAATGTATATTTATTATTATAGTTAATATAATATAATATATATAATTACAATATTATAAAACATATTATAATACTACATAAGAAATATTAATATTTCTTATGTAGTATTATAATATGTTTTATAATATTGTAATTATATATATTATATTATAGTATAATATAATATAATCGTTATTTTTAATTATTTTAGTTATTATTTTAATAATATGATATTATAATTATAATATCATATTATTAAAATAATAACTAAAATAATTAAAAATAACGATTATATTATATTATACTATAATATAATATATAATATATTATAAAATAATAATTACAATATCATATTATAATTATAATATCATATTATATGATAAAATAATAATATTAGAGTTATTAATATAATTGCGATATTATTTTCTATAATATTACTATTATATTATATTATTTTGTATTATATTATATTACGAGTCTGAATTTTAGATCGGGAAGATTATAAATTTTAAATTTCATTAGGGATATTATGGGTATTATGAAAGTTTCATTAATTGTACTATACTGATTCCCGCACAATCTAAAAGCTAAAGCTGTCTTTAGGCTGCTTCTGATTTTAGCTGTAGATTCTTAAAAAATTCTTCAAAAAGTGCTTTTGAAGAGATTTATCAAACACTAAAATCAACTTTTGCTACAAGCAGAAGCTGATTTTAAGAGGAAAAAGCAATACCAAACTAAGCTAGGTTTAGTTTGGTAGTGCTGTAGATTTAAAAAAAATTACTTTTAGCTGTGCTGAAGGAAGAAGCAGTTGTTACAAAAAGCAATTGAGTGTTTGGTAAACTATAATTATAGTAGCTGTACTAGTCCAAAATTAGTGTAATAGCATTTGGTAAATTATAAGGTTGAATTGTTGTAAATAGTTAAAAATTACGATTATATTATATTATATTATAATATAATATACATTTATTATTATATTTAATATAACACAGAAAAACTATTATTATATAATATATTATATAATTATGATATAAAATATAATAATATTATTAAAATAATAACTGAAATAATTAAAAATAACAATTACATTATATTATCCTATAATATAACATATATAATTATAATATAATGTATATTTATTATTATATTTAATATAATACAATAAAACTATTATTACATAACATATTATATAACTATGATATAGAATATAATAATATTATTAAAATAGTTAATATAATTACAATATTATAAAGCATATTATAATATTATATAAAAATATTAATATTTCAGTTATAATATAATTAAAAATTATAATTATATTATAATATAATATAATATAATATATTATATAGTCATTATTATATTATATTAAACAAATATATTATAATTAATCTATTATATAACCATGAATAATACACTATAATATATAATAATATTATATCATATTATTAAAATAATTATAATATTATTATAATATCATAAAATAATAATATTAGAGTTATTAATATAATTATGATATTATTTGTTATAACATAAATATTATATTATATTATATTATATTATGAGTCTGAATTTTAACTTGAGAAGATTAAAAATTTTAAATTTCATTAGGGGTATTATTGGTATTATGAAAGTTTCATTAATTATATTATGTTGATTCTCGTATAATTTAAAAATCAAAATTATCTTTAGATTGTTTCTAATTTTAATTAAAAATTTTTAAAATTTTTTTTAAAAATACTTTTAAAAAAATTTACTAAATACTAAAATAAACTACCTTAATGCACTGATTTGAACTGGCTAATTTTGGCCTGTTCAATGTATCTGTTTCTTTAATTAACCAAAAAAAAAAAAAAAAGTCTCGCGTCTTTTAACGTACACTTCTAACAAGTGGCTCAGTTGGACACTTGGAATTGAAGTTTTAATACTACTTTTTCTAGCTCACTTTTCTAATGACTGGTTGATCCAATTTGGGCTCTCTCATCAAGATTACAAGAAAACTAAAATAAAAACAAATAGTGGTGGTGCAAATATCAAATATGTAATTATAAAACTCTAATTTAACAAAAAAAAATCTATAAAAGTCTAAAGCCAGTGGTTTGATAAATAAGACATAGCTGAAAAATCGACTTTGTAAAAGGTTTTCCATTTTCAAGGCTCTTGTTCATGCTTTAGTCAGCTTTAAAAAAATAAATAAATAAATTTGAGGGTGCACCTTAAAGTAAATTAAAAATCTATCTTAAATTTGATCTCAATTGATCCTAGCGACCAGCTGTCAGTTACAAGAGTGACATTTAATATTTTTTTTTGGGAAGAATAAAGTACTAAATAAAGTAGAATTATTATTATTTTTTTACATGTTACAAAGTTGTGAAATTGCAAGGAGCCTTTTTTTTTTTTTTTTTTTTTCGGTGTAAAGTTCTTTTTTGCAAATCCGTTACCCCACCCACACAGTTATCCAATAAAAAGATAAAAATAACAAAATATTAATCATGGTTGCTAAAAAGAAGGAAATGATGCCTCTTCAACTTTTTCACGTAGTAGAATATCCTAAGACGCTCACATCTCCACGCTATTACAAATTATAGCCCTTAAAAGCACCACCATGATTATCCTCTTTCATATAAACTTTTCCACTCAATGCCAACTTTCGCCTCTCTCTCTCTCTCTCTCTCTCCTTCACAGCTTATACATATTAGATTTAACACACCCTTTCCTTTATATTTTTACCAAATTATAATTCACCTCTTGTGATCATCTCCATTATTAGAAACTAATGACAACTTCCTTCCAAATCTCCTTCTTCCTCTTCTGCCTAATCTCCATCGCCTCAACAGGTACCTCTTTGCCTCTCTCTTGAGTTTTCGGGTACGGCATTTGTACTTTACATTTTAAGATCGAGTCAATTATAAAATTACTGTTAGACTGTATGTGCAATCATTTTTTCTCTCTCGTAAATATCACATCTTAGCATTTCTTTATGTTTTTTTTTTTTTTTTTTTTGGCCAGATGGGACTCAACTCATCTTAGTAAACAACTGCAAAGAAACGATCTGGCCAGGTCTCCTCGGCACAGCGGGCCACGCAACCCCAAATGCGGGCGGTTTCGACCTCCAAAGCGGCGAAGAGCAAATCCTCGAAGTCTCCGAGAACTGGTCGGGAAGAATCTGGCCCAGACAAGGCTGCTGCTTCGATGTACAAACCGGCAAAGGCGCCTGCCAGACCGGAGACTGCTTGGGCCTCCTCCGCTGCGCCGGCCTCAGCGGCATCCCTCCTGCCACTGTCGTTGAAATGACGCTCGGAACACCTCAATCCCCACTTCATTACTACGACGTCAGCTTGGTCGACGGCTTCAACGTCCCGGTCTCCATGAGGCCTATCGGTGATGAGGCTGGTTCGTGCGGCATCGCGGCCTGCGAGGCCGACTTGAATGCTTGTTGCCCCGCTGCGCTGGCGGAGAGGAAAGAAGGGAAGGTTGTGGGGTGCAAGAGTGCCTGCTTGGCTTTGAATACTGATAGATATTGCTGTAGAGGGGAGTTTTCGGATCCGAACCGGTGTAAGCCGACGGTTTTCGGGTTGGTTTTTAAGGCGGTTTGTCCCCGGGCGTATAGCTATGCTTTTGATGAGGCTACGGGGCTCAAGAATTGCAGGGCTAGTCGTTATGTTATCACCTTTTGCCCTCCTAATTGATGTTAGAAGTTATGTCCATCACATGATATTATATTTCAGTTTGAGAGCACTATTTTTTAATACTATGGGTTTTTTTTTTTTTTTTTTTTTTTTTTTTTTTTTTTTTTTTTAAGGGGTGCAAAGTTGTGGAATTTGGGATATGATTGTTTGAATGAAGAGAAGAATAGAGGCTTTTGAGTATTTATTTGTTTTGTTTTTCTTTTGTTTAGTTGGTTCGTAATTTTCCTCCCCTTTTATTGAATTCTTTAAAGAGCTTGAATAAAAACTTGATATGGACCTAGATGGCAATAACTAGCCATTCACAAGTCAGAACCCATAATTAGCAACCATAGTTCATATCTTTCTAGTATTTTGCTTCTCATGTTAGAAATGCGAATAAAGTAATATGTGATCCTAGGAGAAAAACCCTGTTCCGACTAACAAATTATCTAATAGTAGCAATCATTTTCGGAATATGAATAAAATATAAAGTATACATAAGATTTCTAGACTTGAAACAAACCATTTGAAAACTATCACATGGTCTAAAATATCATGTGTCACCTAAAAATTATTGCCACGAGAAACTTGATGTGTTTAAAAATAAGAAGGTTGCTTATTTCACATATATAAAGCAAATAAACAAATGTCCTTTAAAGTTTTCCACACTCATTTGGCATTATTTTTGAAGGAAAAGACGTGAGATTACTTTTGACTGTCAACCCTTTTATAAAGCCGTGCGCCCGCACGCGCACACATATTTGTATAACAAGAATATCTGATTAGTGCAAAAATGGATCCGACAAGTATTGAAGATGGAGTTAAGTTAGATGAGGGGTTGGGCTGGGGAAAATCTTTACCAGTACCAAGTGTCCAAGAGATGGTGAGGAATGATGTCGAATATGTTCCTGAAAGATTCATACAAGACTTTGAAGATAATAAGCGAGAACTCAACAAGCTATATTTTGCCTGCAAGGAGTGGAGCTTTTTTCAGGTGTGTCTAGAAATGTGAGCTTAATTTTATGCGCTTAATTTAGCTAAATTTCGATGTCGGATTCTCTTTTATCACTAGATCATAAACAATGGAATCGCAGCAGAGGTTTTAAGTAATGTCGAGACCGCTTTAGCATCGTTTTTCTATATCGATGTCGGAGAATGACATTCAAGGATATGGACAAGCGTTTGTCGATTGGATAAGCAAAAACTGGGTTGGAGTGACATCATGTTCTTGGCAACACGCCCACTTGAACATAGGAATATGAAGTACTGGCCAGTGGATTTTCCAGGATTCAAGTATGAATTTATGCAAACATAAATTGTTGGTGTTTATAAGAGTAAATAGAATGAGAAACACTGAAACCCGTCTCGAGCAGTTCAGGACCAACACTGAAACCCGTCTGAGCCAACTCACCATTGCGACCAAGGGCGATCAACCGGACGGCACGGTTGGAGAGACCGACAACAACTCCAACTACGGCGTTTGGGGGGACTCAGATCCACGTCGCCCCGATTTGCAGTCCATTTTGAAGACCTTGTGCGTTGACGTTCTGAGATTTGACGGTAGTAACGTTGACGATTGGATCTACAAGATCAATAAGTTCTTCGCGCTCGTGGAACCGGAGATGAGATTGGCCGTCGTGTCCTTCCACTTGGACGGTGAACCTTCCACCTGGTTTCAATGGATGGAGAAGAGTGGCGTGCTAACCACCTGGGAGATCTTTTTGCGCGAGCTCCGCAAACGCTTCGGGGCGTCCATCTATGATGATCCGTTAGGTCGCATTTCCAAATTGGTCCAAACAGGAACGGAGTCTCAATTCCGAGCCGAGTTCGAGGGACTCATGACACGCAACTCAGGTGTTTCTGAATCCTTGTTTCTGAATTTTTTCATTTGGGGACTCAAAACGAAAATTCATCTAGAATTGTTGATTGCTAGGCCTTTGTCCTTGACAGAGACAATGGCTATGGCCCAGCTATTTGAGGAAATGATCGATGACTTGGTGCATAAGCGACGAAAGGACGGGAGTCACAATTACGAGGGACCGCTACACCGTTCCGGGCTAGGGCCGGTACAGGCGAGTCCAAGAACTGTGGTTTCAAGCCCATCTGCGGGTGTTCCACCACAGTGAGGGGGTCCCCTGTCTGCCGGGGGTTCTCGCCTTCCCGCGAAGCGCTTGTCACCGGAGGAACTGCGAGAGAAGAGGGAGAAGGGGCTTTGTTTTAGTTGTGATGAGAAATACCACGCTAATCATCGCTGTAAGAACCGCATTTTGCTTATGGTCGGTGCCGAGGAGGATGATAGTATGCTTGAGGAGGCGTCGGCCAACACCGAGAGTATTCCTGCCGATGAGGGACTTGAAGTAAGTTTTAATACTTTCTTTAACTCTACAAATCCTCATATTTTTTGTATCATGGAAAACCACGGTCTAAAGAAGTTAGAGGTCCTCGTGGATACATGAAGCAACAATAACTTTATTCAGGAGGCTTTGGTGGAGAAATTGGGGATACAGTGGGAGCCAGCTAGGCGGTTTCGGGTTTATATGGGCAATGGGCAATACTTGACATGTGACAAGAGGTGTTTGGGGGTTACGTTAGAGATGCAAGGACACCGTTTTGTGGTGGATTTATTTGTTTTGCCGATATGGGGGCTGGATGTTGTCTTGGAAATGCAGTGGCTCTGTACACTCGGGCATTGCTTGCATGACCACAACAAGTTGACTATGGAATTTGAATGAGGTGGTCAACGAGTTAAGCTAGCGGGAAGCACTTCGGATACAACCCAGCCGGTTACCTATTCCCAGCTTAATTTGTTGGTTCATGAGGGCCATGTGAGGAGGATTTTCACTTTAACACACGCTGGACAGGTGGATCACCATGAGCTACAGGTCAGCGACGAAATAGATAGGCTAGAGGAGGGGCTTTCGGTAGTAGGGAAAGGGGTCATCACCTAGTTTCGTCGAGTGTTTGAGGAACCGAAGCAATTGCCTCTATTCCGTTTGGTGGACCATCGGATCCATTTGCAGCCTGGGACGGCTCCTGTGAACGTGAAACCATACTGATACCCTTACTTTTAAAAGGATGTCATCAAAAAGCTTGTGTAGGAGATGCTTGAGAGTGGAATTGTCTGACATAGCAACAGCCCCTACTCATCCCCGGTCTTGTTGGTCAAGAAAAAAGAAGGCTTGTTGAGGTTCTGTGTGGACTATCGGGCACTCAATTCCATCACCATAAAGGATTGGTTTTCCATTCCCACTATCGATGAGCTTTTGGATGAACTTGGGAGGGGGGGGGGGGGGGGGGGGGGTAGCAGTGTTCACCACGTTGGATTTGCGTGCTGGCTATCACCAAATAAGGATGGACACAAGAGACATCCACAAAACTGCATTTTGAACCCATGACAGCTACTACGAGTTTGTCGTAATGCCCTTTGGGTTGTCAAATGCCCCGTCGACATTTCAAGCAACTATGAATAAGATTTTCAAGCCTTTTCTCTGAAAGTTCGTCATTGTGTTCTTTGATGATATTTTAATTTATAGCCGAGACCCGAATGAACATGTGTTGCATTTGGAGCAAGTGCTTCAATGTTTGGCGGATAACTGTTTTTTCGTCAAAGGCATCAAATGTAGTTTTTTCCAAGAAACTATAGAATATATTGGGCATTTGGTGGCACAAGAGGGGGTGAGGGCAGATCCGGCTAAGTTGGAGGCGATGGCAAGTTGGCCTCGGCCAAAAAACTTAAAATAGCTACAGGGATTTCTCGGGTTAACAGGGTACTACCGGAGGTTTGTTTTGCACTATGCCACAATTGCTGCTCCATTGACCGAACTGCTCAAAAAGGATAACTTCAAATGGAATGACCATGCCACTGTTGCCTTTGCGAACTTAAAGCAAGCCATGATGGAAACACCGGTACTCTGACTTTCGCATTTCTCAAAACCATTTGTGGTTGAAACCGATGCTTCCAGCGTTGGTCTTGGCGGCATTCTCATGCAAGACGGGCATCCAATTGCTTACTTTAGCAAAAAGCTTGGGCCGAGAATGATGAAGGCATTAGCGTACATTCGGGAACTGCGGGCGGTAGTTGAGGCTGTTACAAAGTGGCGCCAGTATATCTTGGGGAGGCTGTTTGTCATTCGTACGGATCATAAGAGTTTGAAAGAACTCTTAACTCAGGTCATACAAACTCCCGAACAACAGTACTATCTCAGCAAGCTTACGAGTTATCAATTTTCTATTGAATACAAGGCTGGTTCTGAGAACTTGGCAGCAGATGCTTTGTCGCACCGCCATGAGTTTTTGCCTTTGCAATGTTGGCCAGCACTATCGGCAGGTCAGTTCCATTTTCTAGATGACCTGCACCACGAGAACACAACTCGCACAGACTTGTTGGCGATTCAACAAAACTTGAAAAATGGCATCCTAGACGACTCACCATTTTCGTGGCGGAATGGAATCGTTTATCACAAGAACATATTTTTCTTGAGTAAGTTTTCTAAACTCAAGGAAATTATGTTGCGTGAATTTCATGAGTTGCCAATAGGGGGATATGCCGGGGCTGAACGAACTTACATCCGTCTTAGTGCCAACTTTTTTTGGGAAGGAATACGAAAGGAAGTCAAGGATTTTGTGGACAAGTGTTTTACTTGTCAAACCATTAAGTACTCCACCATCGCTCCTAGTGGCTTGCTGCAACCTCTTGAGATTCCTGAGCGGGTGTGGGAGGATTTGGCACTTGATTTCTGTTGGAAATGTGTCCATAAAGTAGGATGTAATTTGTTATTTGTGAAATGACAAATGTCAGACATTATTGTTTCGCTGATTTTATAAAATAAAATAAAGTTATGTTTTGATACATATTCAAGAGTGTTAGTGATATTGCTTAGTCCATAGACTGTTATCAATGAAAGAAGAGTCAGGGAAACCCTGCCGGACAAACTCTTCTGATATAGTTTAAAATAGATATTCGCAGTCTTAGGATCGATTGGGCAATCGAATCCGATTATGACTGTTAGATCGAACCATATGATGCTGGTCTCGGGGCATGGGAGTTGGACTCTGTGGTTGATCTAGATATGTTCACAACA